GAAATGGCTTTCTTCTTGCCACTCTTCCATAAAGGCCAGATTTGTGCAGTATACGACTGATTGTTGTCCTATGGACAGAGTCTCCCACCTCAGCTGTAGATCTCTGCAGTTCATCCAGAGTGATCATGGGCCTCTTGGCTGCATCTCTGATCAGTCTTCTCCTTGTATGAGCTGAAAGTTTAGAGGGACGGCCAGGTCTTGGTAGATTTGCAGTGGTCTGATACTCCTTCCATTTCAATATTATCACTTGCACAGTGCTCCTTGGGATGTTTAAAGCTTGGGAAATCTTTTTGTATCCAAATCCGGCTTTAAACTTCTCCACAACAGTATCTCGGACCTGCCTGGTGTGTTCCTTGTTCTTCATGATGCTCTCTGCGCTTTAAACAGACCTCTGAGACTATCACAGTGCAGGTGCATTTATACGGAGACTTGATTACACACAGGTGGATTCTATTTATCATCATTAGTCATTTAGGTCAACATTGGATCATTCAGAGATCCTCACTGAACTTCTGGAGAGAGTTTGCTGCACTGAAAGTAAAGGGGCTGAATAATTTTGCACGCCCAATTATTCAGTTTTTTATTTGTTAAAAAAGTTTGAAATATCCAATAAATTTCATTCCACTTCATGATTGTGTCCCACTTGTTGTTGATTCTTCACAAAAAATTACAGTTTTATATCTTTATGTTTGAAGCCTGAAATGTGGCAAAAGGTCGCAAAGTTCAAGGGGGCCGAATACTTTCGCAAGGCACTGTACGTTCCCTGTCATCACTTTATTCAAACAACTGAGAAAAACACACTGTACTGGCATTTCTCAAAACAAAAAACAACTAAGAATCCTAAACACCAATGCACTGGCCTGTATGTTGGTGTGGATATGTGTGTGTGAAAAGGGTGTGGATGCAACTGGGGACTAATGCTGTGCTCTTTGTCATTCAGCCTGTAGTACCACCCTGCTGTTGTGCATATGCGGTCAAAGGAGGAGAATTTCGGGGGCTCATATTCTGGCACATTTTTTTAACAAATTTAACCTTCTGTGATCCAGTATTTAGTAAAACAGCTCATGTGCAACATCTGCTATTAGATGAGCTGTTTGAATCTCCCCAAATAATAATAATAGACTGTGAACACGCCATCTTCATGAAACTGTTTTGTTATGGGTGTAATTTAGACTGTTGATTGGAAATAGCTGTTGAGCCACTGCTGATTCACAGCAGCTCATATGGTTAATTACCTAAACAGCAGATTCCTATAAATAGGTTTATGTACTTGCAGCCACTGACGCATGCTCACTGTCTCCTGCTCAGCTGAGGACTAGACAGTTTACTTTAAATGGTTCTTATACACAGAAACAGCTGAGAAATTATGCCGCAGTCATTTTATTAATGCAAATAGAGATAGCATGCAACTCAAACTATAAGGTTTTAAATCCACAATGTTGCACATGTTTTCCATTCTTTCATCTCCTCTCCCTTCCCCCCCTAGGCTAAGACATCAGCAGATATGGGTCACTGGCTGGGCCTCTTGCTGTCACAGACAGGGACCAAAACCGATCCCGAGGAGCTGACGTACGACTACGTCAATACTGAGAGGATCTCCTGCATTGTTAATGCAGCCAAGACTTCCTTATAGTATGAGTCACCTCTTTTTTGCTTAAAGGCAGTTTGTTCTGTATGAATATGACCTCTCAAACCTCTCTCTATGTGCGTGTCTGTAGCTTGATGCAGAGGAGGTACTCAGAGCCAAACACCTACATAGACACCCCACCCTCCAAACCTCACAACTCTGATGAACTTTATGACGATGTGGCATCTATAGCTGATGCAGAGGTATGGTCAGGATTAAAATGCGCTGTCAAGTTATAGAACCAAAATGACTTGGAAAGTTTGGAAAAGATTTGCATTTACAGCATTGTTAAGTATCTCAGGAATAATTCTGAGAGAGATGTGGCTTACTGTCTTCTATTGAGGTTATTTAACGGAACATACCATAAGAATTCTATCCATTATATTAAGGAAAATATGAATTTAGTAGTAAATAATCAAACATATATAAACATTATATAATATGTAAATATAAAAAAATGTTTTTGTTACCACTAGCTTATGCAAGCAAAAAAATTCCATAAATTAACAGTTTACAACTGATTTTTCCAGAATTATTTTAAGTCATGTCAAACTATGAGCTCAGAGAGTTCAAGTTTTCATTTCAGATTCTCATAAACTTCAAACTGACAAATCAGTCAAATTCAGTTCAGTCGCTGCCTTTCTGACCTGCTGTTTTGCAAACCAGTTTCATTTTTACAGTCTGGCCATGTTCCATCTCCTGATTTGTCTAACTACTCACATGAAATGCAGGATGCTGAAGAGAGCGGCCTGCCAGACAATGAGGACAACAAGCTTCAGGAACACAATGAAACATGCACACAGGATGCCAAGGTC